GAATTATTCAATTATGCAGCTCCCAAACATTCTGTGTCCACATGAATGCACAGCAGCTGGCTGAAAGGATTCCTAGTAGCTGACCAACAAACTCAATATTGTGAGCATATTCATTGTTGCCAATCACTTCATCTATTTATATCGCTCTATTTCTGTCGACAGTTAAATCCTACTGGAGTTTTTCTAAAGTTACAGGAGGAAACGGTGTCTAGTGGTAGACAGAGTTATGGCCCTACTTTTGTATCATTTATATTCAATTATTTAGCAGGGTTACTTGGAATTTTAAGAACTTGCAATAAATAAAATATCCGCTCCCACAGCTTGCTCACATCTTAAACAAAACTTCTGGGTACTATGCATCGCCAAATGAACTATTAGTTGTGTAAGTCTCTGAAGAATTTTAAGTCTGCGTATTTCAAAGTTTTTCTTGGATATAGTGGTCCAAGTAAACATGAAAGCATGAAAGGAAAAAAAAAAAGATAAAGTTATGGTTGTGTTAATAACTACTAGAGCAGATTTTCTGTATAGCCAACAAACTTGGAAACCAAATTACCCGCTGAGAGATTGCTTCACTTATCTCTCCCCTTTCTCACTTTCTCACTTGCTTCCTTTTTTTTCTTCAATCAGAATCAAAAAGTAAATGAATGCTCAAATTCTGCTTGCATCAGAAAATAAAAGCTTCCGTTTTCCACTGAACCAGTGGAACCCCCCCCACCCCCACAACAAATATGTAGTCATAGATCTCGAATGTTTATCGTGACATCTTCCACTTTCCTTCTGATTTGTTAAACGCTATGATTTATTAATGACATATGGATGCAAATATAGCTGCGGTTTTCGTGCAGTGCGTTACACTTCTGCAACAGCTACGAGACACGCTGATGGATTTGTACTGCAACAAGCACCTCTGCAAACAGAAAACAGCAGAAATGCCAGCTAATAACCCATATATTCAATGACAACAATTGGTATTTTTTAGTTATGTGGAGATAAGATAATTTACTGTGATCTTATCCCAGAGCAACATTATGTGGTCTGGCTGCACTTCCTCCTACTTGTATCTATCATATGAGCTTGAGGGAGATGAAGAAAAAATAAAACTGCCTATTAATAATTCAGAATTCCAGCGTGTAGTGTTATGTACAGTAGCAGCAGGTTTATTTGAGGAAATATGAAGATACACCCTAAGGGGAGCTGATGATTTTTTTTATTTTTTTTTTTATGCACTGGCAAGCTCAAATAAAACAAATCTGGACGAGTGGCCCAGAAGAGCTCAACCTCGGGGACCAAAAATATACAAATTATAAATGACTTCTTGAACTGTCCCCCAATCCCCCCCAAAAAAAGCATGTTTGTGCATCTTGCTGCTGAGCTGCTCAGTCCTGTCTGGAAGGGGACATACAGGGTGCATACAGGTTCATTCCATATAGAAAGCTCCAAAGGAAAGCAGTTATCTAAAGATGAAGGGAGAGGGAGAGAAATGAAATAAAGAGCGCTTTTCAATTCATTGCCTCGGTGGCCACTGAAGTGTGGGAGCAATTTCAATACAATATACAGCCGAGGCTTTGATAAGACTTTTTTTTTTTACGCAAGGATCCTTAAAAAACAGCCAAAGCCTGGTTACATGTGCATCCCCGTGTTTGTGAGCACTAGTGTCTGTGTGTATTTGTATGTGTATGTGCATTTCTTGGAGGAAGGGTGTTTCAAGGTTCGGACAAATGCAAGATTGTCCCGCTCATAAAAGGAGAGGGGCTCTGTCACGGAGCCTGCCAGCTAAAGGCTTAAATCACATGCCTGGAATACACAATGACGTTACACCCCCCCACACACACACACACACATCTCTCTAAATTATGCAGAGTAAGACCATTCCTGGAAGCATTCACTTTCAACATCTGCTTCAAGTACATTGTTTGAATGCATATGCTCAACCTAAACAGATCAAGGTAGAGAACAATGTACCGCCTATATTTCATCCACGCTGCTTAAATGATCACAGACACACATCCATTCTGCTCTTTACAGCATTCTTCTGCCAGTCATTGCTTGAATTTATTCAAAGACCTTGATTTATTATTATTGTATGAATTGTGACGAGGAACCTAATACACTTTGTATGCAGTAAAACTTCAAGCCAATTTAAAATATCACCGATTCAGTGTCTGCTTGGGAAATGAAATCATTGTCATTCAAAACATTTCCAACAAAATACTGTGAGGCAAGCAATTCAAGAGAAAATATGATATATCATGTGTGTATGACGTATTCATGTGTGGCATTTTCCATTTGAGCAGTCGGAGCCTCCTTAATAAAAGATGAGTGACAATGTCAAGTCAGCATAGGCAGGAGCCCCTTTTCTCCTTGACACCCTCATTCCAATGACACCAGACACAAGGCAGAATGTCGCCACCTAAAGGCAGCCTTTCTCGCCTTCAGACTCCCCCCTTTTGCCTCAGTACCACCTGCACCTTATTAACATGGATGCTCTCCCAGCGAGACAGGATTCTTTTTAATTAGAGTTTCATGGTGAATCAAATCACAACACTCAAAAACGTATCAAAACAAATCAATATGATAAATTATGGGCCAATTAAAAGTAATGACACAGGAGTCTTTGCATGTTTGGTAACAATAAGGGCAGCTCGGAGGAGAAAGTAGTCACAGAGAAACTTATTTACCAGTCAGTGGGCCACAGAGCCTAGTACAGCTGCTGGAGCTAAACATTATGTGGGCCAGAATCCTAAAACATATTCAAGACCGAGTGGGCGCAGGCTCACTCTTAGGAGTGAATTACTGAAATCCCTTCTTCCTGAGCATTGAGGAATTTTGCAGCAGATTGGTTTTAACCTTGATTCCACACTAAGTAATTCCCTTCAACGCCTTAAGCGGAATTAGGCATCATTACGTATCATCCATCTCCTCATCCCAGGAATTCTCTTTAGAAATGAAATGAAGCTCTCCACAAGGCCAGGCGCTGGCACGGTGGTGACAATGATAAGGCCAACAGAGCCCTGCTGATATGTTCATATTATTCCCCTCTCCCAGCAAGAGACCAAACCTAGCCTGTCTGCCAGTGCACCACTATAAAACATCATTAGAGGCCAGCAGCACTGTGGAGAGATACTGGGAGTTACAGGAAGCTACAGTAGGTTCAGATGCAGACAGCACTACTAAAGGTGCCCTTGTGAATCTGACTGAGCAGGCGGGTATGCTCTCACGTTTTATCCATCTCTTTATTTATTTTTCCTATTTAGCCTCTCCTCCCATGGCACTGTAGTGACAGATGGGTTGAGAGGCCTTGGGATCGATGGAAGGGGAATTCTGTCTTTGTTTCCTGACATTTTTCCCATAGCCACTCTCCTCTGACTCAGGTTACTTACTGTCCACACAGTCAGAGAGATGAGGCAGAAGCGGAGAGGAGGGAGGAAAATGATACGCTTCTGTACAGCTTCTGAAGAAACTTAATGCCTTAGGCCATCTCCCACTACACAGGTTTCCATTGAATAATACAATACAGCACCCTGCACGCCTGATGCGTCTAGGGGACCCTCTGTAAACAACACACTAAGGAATGTGTTGTTGCTGCTCTCGCTTGTTTTCTCTTTGAAAGTCTGATGGGAGAGAGAAAAGTAAGTGCACAAAATGGGCGTGCAACAGCCCAGCACAGTCTAATTCATCATCACTACATTAGCAGGGAAACAGTCCGCGGAATGGGTCCGCAATTATTTCTTTCTCTCTGATTAGGAAACCTTAACGGTCTTTGTGCTGACCCTTGCCCTATGCAGCTGGCTCATAATAGAAGCAAGGCTGGGACTGAGAGGGGGAACAACAGACAGTGGCCTTCCTCCCTGGTGGGAACACGTCACATCAGATCACAGTCATCGTCACATCTATGTCCAGAGCAAATAGTCAGACTGAAAATACAGTGGAGAGCCCAATCAAGAGGCCAGTTGTTCAAGTGCATCACGATGTAGCAGTGAACAAAAAAATTACTTTCTCTACTTTTCCCAGGGAGTTTAAGCCAAAGACAAAATGAATGCTGAAGGTAACTGAATAGTCTTTATTCGTCCCTATCAAATTATATTAGGACCATGAAAGGTAAACATCAGACAGAGAATTATTTTGGCTACAACTGGTCGTTATCCCCATTGTTACATACTGCTGTCTAAAGCAGGCTTAATCCTCGTCTGACACGACAGACTTTTAATGGGCTTAAGGCCAAAGACATAGAGAAGTTATCAGGTTAGAGGTTTATACACCAAAGTACTCAACACAAAGACGTCTAAAGTAGCTGTGAAAATAAGTACAACGTGCTAATCTCTAGGAATTAAAATCGCTAGAATCAACCGCGAGTAGCTATAGATTTTCATGTGGGATGTCACAGTCATGAGAACTGCTTGAAAGGGCAAAGAGGGATCTGTCACTGTTTGAGTACATTATGTGACTGTATAACTGATCCGGATGATTGATAAAATGTTTTAGTCGGTACATTTAAAAAAAAAAAAAACTGTCATTGGATATGGATATGCAAATATCTGTGGGATAATTGGATAGTTCAAAAGGAATTGGTGATGAAAAAAAGTCACACCTGCTCATAATGTAACTCGCAGCCACAGTCTAAACCTTTTATTCCACGGGAAGGAAATGACAGTGATAGAGTGATTAATGAAAAAATTCTACATGAAAACGGATTTCAAAAGCCTACCGTGACATATTTCAAGCACAACTGATTTGTGTTGATGTCAGTGGCTCTGTTCTATGAGAATACTGGAATGACTGTTTAATCCTTCTAATGCTCAGCCCTCTCTCCCTCCCTCCCCTCCTTTTCTCTCTGTGCTCCTGGGCCTCTCTGCTTCTGCCTGTCCTTATCTTCTCTTTCTTTTATTTTACAAAACAAGGGCGGGGGGGGGGGGGAGTTGATATAGGAAATGGGAGCTCTCCGTGTTGTGATGTGAAAATGGTGGCAATACAGTGAAGGAGAAAAGTGCAATTTCTCTTACCTGTATGATGGACATGCGGTTAGTAGGTGTGTCTGTAGTGCTGGTGACTGGGCCTGTGAAGCTGGTGTGGCATCCCACGTGGCCTTGGGGCACGCTGAGGTTATTGGCAGTGGGCTTGAGGTACATGACCTCTGACCTTGGTGAGCTGAGTGGCAGGCGTGTCTGGTAGTCAAAGTACATGGGAGAGGTGGCCAAGGAAGGGCTGCTTACCACATTCATCACATTCATGGCATCCCGCTCCTCCACCTCGCTCTGCACCAGCATGATGTCGTTCTTGTTAATCTTCTTCTTCTTTCCTTTTCCCAGCTGAGGGTGCGAGTACTCTGCAATGCGACAATTATACGTTCGGATCTCCTTGTTTTCCTGCTTGCACTTGATTGCTATGGTCACCATGGCAGCCAGAAGCATGATTGATATGATACTGAGAGTTACAATAAGAGGAAGGGACATGTCCCAGTTCTGATTGTCCTTTGTGCGCGGCAGTCCATCAGGAGGACGTCCATCTGAGGCCTTTATTATGAGCCTGGCGGCAGCGGTGAGAGTTGGCTTGCCGTGGTCTGATACTCGGATGATCAACTCCACAATCGGGTTCACATCATCCCAGAATGGGTGGGCTGTGCGCACTTCCCCCGTCACTGGATCAATCTCAAAGAGATGCTCCTCATTGCCATCCGAGATCTCATAGGTGAGCCTCCCACTCTCTCCATAGTCATTATCAACCGCCCTCACTGTGGTGAGAATGTAGCCAACTCCAACATTGCGGGGCACATGGATTTCAGCTGTGTCATTTAGGAGTAGCGGCAGAACTATGACAGGGATGTTGTCATTGACATCTAGAACACTGATGCGCACTGTAGCATTGCTCTCCAGGTGTGGAGATCCGTTATCTTTAGCAAGGACCTTGAAGTCGAAATACTTTATTTGCTCGTAGTTGAAAGATCTCACGGCGTAGATGGCCCCATTTGCAGCGTTAACATTTACATAGGTGTTGACATCACCCCCACTCACGTTGGAGTTAACTATGCTGTAGTACACTGTGCCGTTCTGGCCAAGGTCAGGATCATGTGCCAGAACTGAGCCTAGATACTCCCCAGGAATGTTGTTCTCAGGAATCTGAAGAAGATAAACTGACTTGGTAAAGCGAGGAACGTTATCATTCTCATCGAGGATCTTCACTGTGAAGGATTTTGTGGAATTAAGAGGAGGAATTCCATTGTCTTTGGCCACAATGGTGACATTGTACTCATCCTGTGCCTCTCTGTCTAAGGGTCTGTCTGTCACCACTGTATAGAAGTTAACATAGTTCTCCTCAAGTTTAAAGGGGACATTACCCAACACTCTGCACTGAAGCTGCCCATTCCTGCCTGAGTCCTTGTCTGTGACACGGACCAGAGCAATGACAGTGCCTGGAGGTGCTGCCTCGCTGATGGCTCCCTGTCTCACTGACACAAAGCTTATAGATGGCCAGTTATCATTCCTGTCAAGCACTTTAACAGTGACTTTACAATGGCCTGGGATTGGATTGGGACCCAGATCCTTTGCCTGGACGTCAATCTCAATAACTGGGCTCTCTTCATAGTCAATTTCGCCCTGAATCTTAATGTCCCCTGTCCTTGAATCTATGGAGAAGAGCTCCCTGATTCTCTCTGGGGCATAGCCACTAAAAGAATAAACTACTTGTCCATTGTTTCCCTCATCAGGATCTGTAGCATTTAAATCAATCAGGACTTTACCAGGAGTGGAATTTTCAGGGATTTCTACAACATATGAGGGCTGATCAAACACAGGGCTGTTATCATTGGAATCAATAACTTTGACATTTATCTGCATGGTACCTGACTTAGGATATTCCCCTCCATCAGTGGCTGACAAAATTAGGGTGTGATGGCTTCGTTCTTCTCGGTCCAATGGTCTTTGAATAACTAATTCTGGGAATTTAGTCCCGTCACCACGGGATTTTACCTCCAAGGAGAAGAGATTGTAGTCATCGCGTGTTATTTGATACGTTTTCAGACCGTTTTCTCCTGCATCTGGGTCATGCGCACTGGTCAGGGGAAAGCGTGTCCCTGGCACTGCATTTTCTGAAATGTCAATATCAATCTGATCCGAGGGGAAAGTTGGTGAGTTGTCATTAATGTCCTGAATATCTATTTTGATCATGCATATCTCCTTGTCATTGGCAAACACCTCCATGGAAAGCTGGCACTTGGGGTTTCTCTTACACAAGGTTTCCCTGTCGATGCGCTGCTTTGTGTACAACAGTCCGCTCTGGGGGTCTACGTCAATGAGATGCGGAGCGGAGTTTTCCAGCACCCTGAAGTTGGCTTTTTTACCCTGTCCTGCCTGCCCAACCTGTTCCAGTCCAAGTCTGGCATCTTTGGCAATGTTCCCAATCACTGTCCCCGGGCCTTGTTCCTCCGGGACAGAATAATTCAAGTTTTTCAATGTCAGGGCTTGAGCCCATAAGAGTAGGAAAAAGAAAATAGAAAGATACATCCCCACTCTGTAAAAGTTGCTTTTATATGTCCTGTTTATTCCTCCCTTGACCTGTTGATATTTTCTTCAAATTTGGTATTTCTATTATTCAGGATCAAATAAAGAGTTCTGTTCATCATGTGAGGCCTTGGCATTTGTCTTTGTGGATTGTCTTTGCTCTGTCTCCCTCTGCCTCTGCCTCTTCCAGCAATCTGTGGAGCTGAACACCTAATTTATATTCAGCTGAGCGCTCAGACTCATCTGAGCAATAATTGCGATCCAGTCCCCAAACAGAATCGTCATTGTTAAGTGCTCACTCGTACCACCTAAGAAAGAAACAGAAAAAAAAAATTATTTATCACAACGTCTGTGTCAATTAGTCACCTTAATAAAAAAATAGACTTAGCTGCATACAAGCCATTCTGCCAGTAAGACATCAGATCTACCGCTGAGCCAAAAATGAAACAGGGCTCATGTGTAATTCATCTCCACAATTATGGGGGAAGCTTGTCAATTAGTTAACCTTGGGAAGACACTTGGCACAGCCCTGATACACATGGATATAATGATTCCTCTTGCCGTGTATTTACTACGTGCGATTTTAAAGGCACGAGGTTCAGAATGCAGTTTTTAATGTATCTCCAATGTGCAACGCACGACCTGACCCTGGTGCGCTAATGGTCCATTCACACAATATGAGAATGTTGATGAAACTGTAATGGAGCAAGTTTAATATTATGGTAACACTGCCGGCGTACAATTGAAGATGGCCTATTGTGGTGGCTATTTAAATAAGTGTGTATAAAATGAGCCTCTTACACGCATTAACAAATCCGCATAATCCGGATATTCACAATGAGCCTTATAAAAATTCGGAAATGAGCTGCCAACATCTCGGCACAGCCGTGTAATTCTCTCCACTGATGCACTCGCTGCCTCTCTCTCTCTCTCGCTCTGCAAGATTCAACGGTCTTTGGGATAAGCTGTTGCATCCGCATGCATATAGGGAAGGTTGTGGAATAACAATCTCTTGGAAATGAGCAACAGACAGTGAAAATTACAAATAAGACCTTGGAAGAACTAATGACATAATGTGAACTTACCAAAAAAGAAGCCGATGTAATAGTCCAGAAAATATAATAGTAAAAATGAAATAGTCAGTTCCAGAAGGGTTCAAGGAGAGTTTCATCCCTCTAACACTTCAGTAAAAGGTACCACCCGTATCCTCTTCCCCCCTCTGTGTGCGGAGGGGAAAGCCACAAGCCTCAGATGCACGCGCAGGCTACAGTGCAGCGCAGTGGAAATAAAAAAGAAAAAAAAAAAAGAAAAAGTGCTCCAGAAAAGTATGACTGTAATGTCAATGAGCTGAAGTCCTCTCCGCTGTCTGATTAGGATGCAGCGGCTCGCCTTCTGCCTGCAGTGAGTCACCGTTCATCAGGAAGGAAAACTGTTCGGAGAAGAGGAAGGAGAAAAATCCAGACGTGTAGGAAGGTAGATCCAAAGTTTGGTATTTTTTTTTTATATATTTTTTTTTTTAAAGAACGGAGGGTGTTTTTCCTCCTTGTCCGAAACAGCGCTGAGAGACTGAATCCCGGTGTGGCATTTTTGTCCTTGTCCGCGTCCCCCGTCAAAGTCCACACTACAGAGAGAGATAGAGAGAGAGACAGCTGCTGAGGAGGGGTCAGTAACAACCCCGCATTCTGCCACAAGTCCCTCCGTAGCTGTCAGAAAAATAGGGGGTTGGTTTTCTTCAATATGTACGCACTGTCGTTATTTAGTATTTCCCGCACGTAAACCAGTCCTAAGCACATTGAACGCTTCCTCTCACTGACTGAACTCCGGACACCGCATGGTGCATTAAACATTGTCGCTACTCCTCCGGCAGCCAATGAATTTGAAGAGGTGGGAAGAAGAGGAGGGATTCAACAGCCGCTTCGGGTGCAGACTACAAATGATTGGTGGCTCGTAGTTCACCGGTGGTGCATCTGTGTTCTTTCAAATATCCCAGTTCATTGTTGTGTACAACAGAGGAAACCGTGCAGTTGGACAGCCTTGCCAAGAGACTTTTAGGGCCATTGCTTTAGCGGTTTGAAAAAAACAAAACAGTTAAGTCATTTATCAAAAATAGACACAAAGATTTGAATGCCGTTGGCAATGTTTTAAATTGAATCAACTGGATTTAAAAAGTGGTCCCCACACTTTTCTTTTTATTTAGGCTGTGTAATATGTGCAAACAACTCATATAGTTCTTATTCTAAGTGACTGAAGAATATCAACTCCAGGATTAAATAGAAGTCTTTGTTTCATGTAGACTAACTCACATTTCTCTCTATTCTATACACATAGATTATTTGTCATATTGAAGCCATTTTATTCACTATTGAGCCTTGTGCTCAAACTCAAATAATAAAATTTGACAGTTAAAATAATCTCTATTCCCCTCATTGTAATGCAGGGTTGATATGTCACATGCAGATAAAGTTGCATCCAAAGTTTTTCATGTAATTAAAGCTGTGGAATGGTGAATGATATAAAATGACTTGATGAATACAGCAGGTATTTCAAGTGACAACTAAATCTCCATTGTTTCCTTTGGTTTCTACTTTTTTCCATTTTAGCCTGGAATCTTTTGCGTCGTCATCCATTATCTTGTCTCTTTAGTCGTTGTTGCAAAGCAAAAAGAAACAACATCTCCAATTTATTTTTCCAACACCAGAATTACAAAAAGAACATTAAAAAACACAATTAGCAACAACTTTCATGATAAATCAATTGTGTGAGTCATTATTTAAGCAAACCCGCCCAACATAACATTCCCAGTGGGGCTTTTTCTTCTACCTATGATTGTCCTGATTGTTTGACAAACCGAGGAATATGCAAACATCACTCTTGACTTTTGTTATCCCACATTTCAAATATTCAACAGATAATTGTAAAAATGATATCCAACTATCAGTCCTAAAAACAAAATGGACATGGTTACCAGTGAACACATCATATAACAAGAACTGATCATTCAAACAGTAATGAAAGCTCCTCAATCACTGAACCGGCCATATATTTAGGACTTAATCATATCTCATTACACATAGAAATGTCAGATCACGGCCTGAGGGACTTTTTGTCATGATTTGATTTGACTGTTTTAATAGTCTAAGTCTTTGACCATGCCCTTCATTTGGTGTTGCTATTTCAACATGTCAGCTTTGTTCAATCTAATCTTGTAGTCGATCCATGTATAAACATGGGTCTTGACCTCTTTGACTTTCTCACTGACCTTTATCTCTGACAGGAGGGAATGACAAGAGTGTCAGAATCATCCGTTAGCCAGACGGCGACCAAAGCTCATTATTAATCAGCAGGTTTGATGTACTAATGTCAAGATGTTGATAACTGATGAAGGTAAATGTCACATCACTGAGTCTATGTGCATACAGTGTTTGTGTGTGTGTGTGTGTGTGTGTGTGTGTGTGTGTGTGTGTGTGTGTGTGTGTGTGTGTGTTCTGTTTGTGTGTGTGTCTATTCAAATGTGATGCATATTTGTATGCTGTGTACCTTCATTTGAAGTCTGCAGGTCGTGTAGGTGTTCCCAAGTGGGAATGTTGAAATTAAATGAGCCAGATGTTTTAAAAAACATATGATAAGCAGCATGTGTGGGAAATAATTCTATCTTCTTTTGAACAAATGAAGAATTTTTACAATTTTTAAAACAAATTTTTCCGAATATGTTTTCATCGTTTGCTCAAATAACATGTTTACTTCCTTTTCCTCTCTGACTAAGGCTACACACCGGGTTTAAACAACGCCGGGACAATCACCTGCCTTGATGAAATGTCACCAGTGCCGCCAGAGATAAACCCAGCCATTAGCAGCTTTCTTCATTAGCCCAATTAAATGGCCCTCAGGAAATGCACTGATAGAAAGCGTATTTGCAATGGGCTGCTGGTGAACAGCTGCATTAAAACACAATTTCGTAAATTAAATTTCAATCTAATGGCAATGGCCTTTCTTCAGGTGGTAATAAGAGAGAAAGAGAGAGAGAGAGAGAGAGAGCCCGCACTATTTAACCGCTTTCTAAAATGATCTTTTACTTCACTTCTTTTTTGTCTTCATCTTCATCTTCTTCTTCTACCTCTTTCTTCTTCTTCTTCTTCTTAATAGTAATAATAATAATAATATACATGTTTCACTCTTCCACCACAGAGAAATCCAAACCATGAAGATGGACAGCGTGCAGTCTGGGTGGGAGCTTTTTCTCTTCCACCTCTGTCGGCTACAAAAGAAAGAAAAAAGAATCAGAGCTGACTTTTACACATGGAGAGTTTTTCCAGCAGCAAACTGTCACCTCTGTCACCGCTACTCTCTGCCTGCCTGTTGTTTGTCTCCCACATAAATTCTTCCATGTTACCTTCTGCTTCTCCTCTCTTCTTTTGAACACCATTCAACTGTTTTCAGTGTCAGAGCAGGAGAAGTGTCTTATTGTTGACTTGACTATGCTTTGGTTTAGCACTAGTGAGATTCTTGTCCTACACATAATTCAAGTTATTCTTAGTCTTTGTATTTTTGTTGAATGAAGTGATAGTGGCACTTAAGGGTACAAAACACATAATGATTTCAAGGAAATTAGTCGTCTTCATTCATTCTGTGAAGACGTAAGCCGTCTACATAAGTATACACCAGTTAACAGCCCCCATGTGTCTGCTGTCTGACTGCACTGAGTTATTAATAGTAATCCTCTGCTACAGGTGACACGCATATGACATGCTGGATGAGACCCATGCACTGTATATGTTAAGCACTGAATCCAACTGTCAAAAATATAGTTCCTTACGATTGAATGCCAGAGACATATCATTCATGTGAATTGAATCCCTAATTACCCTAATTCCACTCTTTTACTTGTTAATAAGGATCAGTTTTTTTTGTCTTTTTACACTTTTAAACATATTTCTTATGGCTTCAGTTTTTTCTCTGTTGTTGGTTTTATTCATTCTTCTTAGTTTCTATTTTATTTTTTGATACTGAAATCAAAAATTACATATTATTATTCATGTGCTCATTTGTAGCTGAGCTAGTGCAAATTCTGAACCATCTGCATGCGTTGCAGTGGGTCAAGTGGGTCAAGTCCTCGTGTTTGAAGATGTCCCTTTTAAATAAAGGCACTTGACTTGACTTGATTTACATCATTTTATTGGTTTTAAGTTAGGATTCTATTTTAAACTATTTAATCAGATCATGTTTTGTACAAACTCCTGCTTTAAACAGGAAGTGTTAACACTCAGAAGTAGAAAACAGGAAAGGACTTTATGAATTAAAAAAAACTGGACAGCAGTACACACCGTTAGACAACCTTTCCTCCAATAACATTTCACTTCATTGTAAACATGAAAGGATGAAAAGTGGAGAGAGTAAAAAAAAAAAGGAAGATCTTAAAACAAACTTGGCACTTGGCATTATCGCCATTTCAATCTCAACGTCACCAAGCCAGATGTAAAAAGATAGGCCAGGAGGACGGCTGGAAAGCCAAGTCAGACATCAATGCATTGACCTGTTCAGATGGCCCACCAAAGACGGTGGAACTCACTTAACTGTATCGGTCCGAAATGTTTCTAATAGAGGTAAATACTAATGAGCTTGGTCAGGGTTTACAGCATGAGCCGAGGGAATCCATCTACGATGTCCACTACACAGCTTCTATTTGTTTCTGTCTTGGCAACAGAGAAGCTTAAATCCCTGAGCCGACCTAGCAGCGGCATCAAGCCTGCAGAAAAACAATGGTTTATTTAAGGAGGTTGACAGACACAATGCAACCCACATGCACTATGTATTGAGTCTGTCTGTGCACTTTGTGTATCTTTAATAGTGTGAATATGTTGTATATATCAATCTTATTGCACAGGATGAATGTGTTAAGCTGTCAAAACACAATCGGCATCAGCTCATGTGCAGTCCTCTTTTCATTTGCTTGGCTACAACTTGTTGCTTGTAAGACATACTTCCCGATCAATATTCATTGTGTAACTGATTTTATCTCATCACGATCCTTATCCATGTGTTTGTGAGCCATAATAGATTTCAGCTGGGGGATCACAGGGCCAAAGATTAGCACAGAAAAGATGCCTTTTATTTAATTTATTTGTGAATTGATCATTTAGATGTTTATAGGCTGACCTGCTGAAATTAATTTTCTTGAAGCATTTTTTTTTACAAGTACATTTCTTCTTCTGAACTTATGCCTTAAATGAAGATGTTCTATGCAAGCTGTGGATGCATACGTTAGCGATCTTAGGAGGCTCTAAGTAGAATAACCATCTTGTGAGAGAGAGTGAGAGATGAATTGCAATCTCATACAGCTTTTTAGCATCACCTCGAGTATCTGTAGAGCCACATTACGTTTGGACACATCAGACTAGACACAGGAAATTGGTGTCGTGATGAGAAGCATGCTCATGGTTAAGCCAACAGTGTGTCTTTTTTCCCCCTGAGGTGCAAATAATTACCTCTCCTCTCACCTGCAGAGCCAGGTATCACGCTGAGACAAGAAGATGAGCCCCCTCTGGCAAAGGCGGGCGTTAAAATCAAATGATCAAACATCAAATGATCAAACACCAACACACACAACACAAGTGTTGATCACCATCGATTGCATAAAAAATGTCCATCAACCATCTGCTCCTCAGTCTCACTGCAAAATACTGCGTGTTCATCGCCTGAGTTTTTAACACCACATCTTATTTGATCAGATCAAACTTTATTTTTCAGACAGTTTCAAAACCTGTCGAAGAAATCAAGCATCACAGTCATTGTTGTTAGAAACACT